TCTCATATCACAATGCAAAACCTGTTTGACAGCACATCACTTTGAACCTTCGTTCGAGGTGCTACCGCGTTCTCCACCAAGTCATCTGGCCTGCTCGAATGTTGCGGATAGGCCCGACCGCTTGCTCGTTTCGAGTAAGTACAGCGCATGACAGAAGACTGCGGAGCTTAAGGGATATCTGTTAGTGCTGGTGAACACTCAGCCTTGATACAGGCAGTATGGGCTTACTGAAAGTCCTCTGGGCTCCGAATGATAGAGCGGTGAAGGGTGGATTCGCGACCTCCCAGGGCCGGGGAGTTGAGAAATCTTGTCCAATGTCTCATATCTATAGATGCATATGAAGTACGTGGGGGACTTTGGGGGGGGCGCCGGGGGGGGTGGGGTGTGGGCAGGCTCTCTCACCTCATAAGGAGAGTCCACCGGGTCATACGCTCGGAGGAGATTGTGGCATGTTGAGGCCATTGTTAACTGCAGTGCACAGTTTCTTCAGAGTGTAGCAGGGAGCGCGTTTAAGGAACGTTGGGATGCAGATTTGAATTCCTATGCATTTTCCAATTAAATCATTGATAATAGCTTGCTTTATCTGCTCTAAAGCTCTATTCATTTATACCTTTCCTTTTGAAGGAAAACGAACGGAGAAAGGACTTGCACAATCATGGCATGTATGACGTCGTTACCTGCCGCGGATCATAATCAGATAAAAAATGGAACTGTTCTCCGTGGTTCAGGTGAAGAGCAAGGAAGGGAGAGGAGAAAATGAATGGCGAAAGTAAGCCCATACATACATGCAGTATCTGAGGACTCGACAGGTCTGGTTTCGTCTTGCTATATGATCTTTTCTGTCTGGATTGCACTCTTCACAAGATATCAAATCATAGAATAGATGAGCCAGAAAATAGAACCACACAGGGAGCATCCCAGTCAAAGGATGTGACTAAGATATGATTCCAAAAGGGGGGCCCCAAAGAGAATAAAAAAAGAACAAGTCTCATCCTTCCCCTGAGCATAAAAGAAAAGTAAAAGAAAGGTAAACTCCTCCCGTAAATCAATCCAGTCGCCATCCGAATTTCCGTACCTTTAACAAAACATAAAATGGACATACAGCACATACATTCTGTGAGAGAATAATGTAAAAAACAATCTCATTCATTCGTACATAGGTTTGATACAGAAGCCCTCGTATGTTTCCCCCCCCCCCTCCAAATCCTATCATCAGGGTAATCTCCTATAAACATGCCTATGGCACATCCGCTCAGTTATTATCATCATCTGGACCTAGAGGTTCAAGAGGCCGAGCTGCTGTATCCACAATGTTAGCATCGTATGTTGCACCATCAACCATCCGCGCTTGTGTGTTGAGATCAGGACTGGCCACCAGTTGGTCTGGCGTACGAGTCTCCGCCGATGGGAGCGATGCGTCCCCACTAGCACCGTCCGCTCCAGTTGACACGTGTAGGGACGATGACGTATGGCTTGGAAGTGGCCTATTGGTTAATACAGGGCTATTTCCACTACCACCACTCCCCCCGCGGCCAGAAGTAACAGGAATCCTAACCACAGGGGTCGAAACAGGCCCGCTGACGGTGCTGTTTGCGCCCTCTCCAAAGCCAACGAGGCTGGAGCTTCCCTCGTCGCTTAGTCCGGCTATGCTGGAGACACCGTCGTCATCGCCTGGTCTATCTGATTCGAAAATGTCGCTGCTGCTGGCCCAAGTCGTGCGCCCGCCGATGCTACCTGTTGCACTAGCGCTACCGACAGTGCTTCGCTCCTTAAAAAGGGGTTGCAGGTGATCGAAGTAGCCTGGTGGTTGGTAACTGAATCCCCCGGGCATCCCTTGAGGATTAGCTGAGGAACTCGGCCCGCCTCCACTGGGCCTGCTTGTGGCTACGCGTTCCAAACCTGCTAAACGTGAGATACGGTCAGCACGTTCCGCGTCTAGAGTTGTTGTGGACGATTCAGAGGCGTTCGAGGAGCGGTGGGCGTGGTGAGAGCGGTGGCAGTGGCCCTGGTGGCCGTCTTTAATGGCTGTGGTGGAAAGAGCTGAGAGCGACGTGGTGCCGGAATTTGGCGTGCTGCTGTTAACAAGAATATCGAAGTTAGCAAAATTACATCTAAATAGGAATTTATATTCAAATGGAGATGGAGGAGGCGGAAGGGCAAGCTGAGGGGGGTTCCGTACGGGCCCATGTCCGAAGGGGTAACCGGCTCAGATGGTGGGGGGGGAAGATCGATCAACGTGGGAGTCGACATGTTGACAAGATGCTCAATTTCTCCCAGAAAATGCTGACAGGGAAGGTAATAAAAAGATAACAGAGTAATAAATGTTGCAAAAAAGGGAGTCTCGACTTCAGCGGAGAGGGGAATAATGACTGGTTCAGCCTGTGTCTGGAAATTTTTCCTGCCGTCGTTCGATGCTGTTCCCTTGGTCCGTTTTCTCACTTTTTCTATCGCTTTCTCCACCCTTTGTGGTCGCTCAAGCCCTTATTTTGGTGAAACTAGAAAGGGATACCGAAGTTGAAATGGAGAGTTTGGACCTGCTGAAGGCTTGTATAGATATGTATATAATTTGGGAGTCGCATGCGGTTAAAGCAGAGGCTGTAAGGGAGTACAGCGTCACAATGGTCTGGTCTGCTTCAAAAGACGGTTCTGAGTTAGATGATTCACAGTTCCTGAGGGACTTCCCTATTACAGAGGAGAAGACGATAGGAAACCGGGTATTGGGATGTATGAGCTAGAAGTCAGTTGAAACTTGAGGGGTTCATGCACAGCAGATCGCCAGTGTGTGCGTCCCCAGTTTCTCCACAACGGAAGGATAAGGTTCGAGTCTAATGAAGGTGAAATATAAACCGTCTGGCTGGTGCGAGGAGCATACGCCCGTGGAGCTTGTTCGCAGAGAGGGTCGAGGCTATCTGTGTCTCGTCTGCGAATTCTCTGTAGAAGTTGAGGTTGAAAGCTTGCGAACGTCAAGAGAAGTTGAAGTTTCTTCCTGGAAGGCTGAACGGATGATGTCATCAATGCGACTGAGAGTTTTGACCCACGTGGACTGATCATTATTACTATTACAAATTTATTATTGTATATCGAACAAAGTTGACGGGCAGCAATAATGCGTATATCTTCCCCGGTCAATAACTAGGTGTGTGCCTCCTGTGATATTGCTCAAGCAAGGATCGGAAAGCGCCAAATGCCATGGGAAGACCACTCACTTCCACGAGGCAATTGATTAACTATCCATGCCTGTACATAACACTCAGCTCCTAGAAGAACTGACTAAATATCCCGTGTAGGTAATTCCCCTTTCCATTGATAATAAAACGATTCGCTTCTCCAGGTGAACACCTCCGGTTTGGTCACAGCTCTTGCTGCCTCCGAGTGATGCTCAACAACTTGAAGCCTGGGAATGCCTCCCTCATAGCTAGGGTCTAGATATGTAGTGGGGGAGGAGTGGTGATAGTAAAAATTCACAATGCAATTTCCGAGGACGCAAAATGATGAAGCAGTAAAATCCCAGAGTCGCCAATTTGAACCTCCGTAGTTAAAATAGCTCACTCGCATTTTCAAACCTGTTCATCCCGCTACCTAGGTACGGCCCATCCCATTGAAAATGGAGTAGTTGTTCCGAGACGCAACGATCCAGCAGCCGCTTACGGGATCTCGGATTCTGCACTGAAACTTTGTCATCTGTAATACGAACCTTGCACCTCACTAGCACTCGCCTTGAAAACAGCTTGATATCACACACATGTCCAAGAACGCCGAATCAGATGGGTGAGTCGTTAGATTGGCCCGCACTACATCACCAGACGAGAGAGGCGAACTAAGCCTTCCCCTTCAGACATATTGTCATATACATATCGAATATCTCCCACAGAAAGAAGGGGACACGGGACAACCTTGTCAGCGACCATGAGATGGTTGTGTATGTGATATTTGAAATAGGGATCTTGGATCTTGTCTGCAGAGATGTAGGACGAAGAAGAGCAGACGGACCTTGGAGCTAGAGCTGGAGATGAGGAGCTGTGCCTCATGGCATTTAACTTGTTCGGAACTTAAGTCCGTTATTGATAGAGGTCTGGTTAGACGATAGGTGATTTTCGATTGTGGAGGTAAATTTATATGTGATAAATGTAGTTATGAAAGGCATTTATAACATTTCTTTTGATGCGACTAGTATATCCATAAATCCACAGTCTTGACTTTTTAAAACTTTCAAGGTAATTCTACCTCCGTCGGCGAAGGATCCATGTCGCTAACGGGGATATCTCCATCGTAAAAATTTCCCGTATAAGCCATTGAAGAAACACCGTGACAGTTTTCACGTCATCATCTAAAAGATTGATCCTATGATCCTTCCCACTGTAAAGTTACGACGCAGCATTCCACAGAAGAAGAGCGATTGTGACTTGAGCAGCCCTTCATGGGTAGTGTTAAATGTAAAATGTGAAATTGGGAATGAGGAGAACATTCTTCCATTAGTTTGGAGAGTGGACTTCCTCTGCGCTAGCTAACAGGCCCACAAGCGGCGGAATGTTGTTGAAAATAAAACCCCAGGAGATAATGGTGATCAGAGAATAGACTGCTGTTAGACTGCTGTCAGGAAACCCATATAGTAACGGGTAGCCGTATGTGCGTGGTATTGACGCTCTCAATAACGCTTCTGCAGGCTCTGTTGTAACAGAAACCACTCGAATCATGATAAGAGGGAGCCGCAAACCCTTCGAGGGAAATATGCCTTTGCACTTTTAATGATATACCAGCTGCATTGAGAGTAGAGCCAATATCACGTTGGAGGCAGACGTCGAAATTGAGCTGAAATCATGAGCTTCGAATGTAGGAGATTCTGCTCTGTGGAAAAAACCCGTGCTTAAACCGTTCAGCATATAGTATATAGAAGCCTTGGAATGCTTGGGGTAATATGGTATTGGAATATATATATATATATTCTCCTCGCACACATAGCCTGTAAGGGAAAGATATTCCCAATATGCCGCTTGTCTAGCATGGGGTTTTGCAACGCAAAACCTTCTGTTTTGAGCAGCAGATGGCCCTCAGAAGGGAGAGGGATTGAGCACTGGAAATAAACTTCTTCGTTCAGGCAGAGAGATCTCTGCGTCAAGAAGTTCTGTATCTTTTTCAAGCTTCTAGTATAAATAGGGGGGTTGATATAAACTCCAGGTGCCCAGCCACAGCCCTTTCTGGCGCACCGGCCACTGGACTTTCCTGCTTACCTAACCTCAGCCACCGCCCCGTCAAATCCAACTTTCTCAGCTTCAACTTTCTTCTCTCTGGCTTTTGCTCCTCCACCTCACCCGCTCCTCTCCCCTCCCCTCCCCCTCCCCCTCCCACAAAAAACCGTCCCGGCCCCCGACCGTCGTGCGCCGGTGGCCCGGCGTAGGGGGGTGGTAATTCATTCTCCCATGGTTGATGGCTATTTAGGAAAAAAAAGTAAACCTTTTGTTCAGACAAAAATAATTTCTATTATTTACTATGTGCTGTAGGGTTAAGAAGGAGGGGGTGGGGGAGGGGATGGGAGGGCAGGGCCTAGGCTAGGGGG